CGCCGGCCAGCGCCAGCCTGCAGACGACGGGAAAGGCCCGCCGTGGGCCGTCTGTGCAGAGGAGCTGAGCGTAGGGCAGGGGCTGGAGAAGACAGTGTCCCCAGAAGGTGGGCCGGGGAGCGGGTGGGGGGGATGTACCTGAGCTCGCTCGCCTCCTCCCGGGACAGCAGGACGCTCTGCTCGGCGGGGCCCGCCTGGGCCTGCAGCACCTTCAGCTCCATCTCCAGCTGCAGGAAACAGCACAGGGTCAGCCGGGAGCGCGGGAGTCCCTCCAGACAGAGGCTCTGCACGCGTTTACCTCCTAGCCACCCACTGAAGAAGCTCCGTAAACACGTCGTATGTACCAGGAGGAAGCCCGGGAGGGTGTGCAGAGGCTGCTGGGAGCTGAGCATGAGGACGGTTCGGTGGGCGATTGGGTGAGCAGCTGGGTCATGGGAATGGGGCAGGGGGTGCCCTCAGCCAGGCCCGCTGGAGCAGAGCCCCCGGCCATGTGCGCTGGCTCATGTGCTGTCAGCCAGCGCAGGGTGACAGGAAGACAAATGCACTAACCCTGAAGCCTGCAACCACCCGTTCACACTTCACTGAGAAAAATCCGCATGGAATTGCTTTAAAAACAACACAGGACTAACTGATTGCATCTTCTGAGAGAGCCCGCTAAACGCCCGAAGCCGGGAGCCTGTCCCAGGACCATCCTCCTCCCAGTGAAAGGACGGCACAAGGCGGCCAGGACGGGAGCGGGACGGGCCCTGGGCCTGCTGCTGGCAGAGCCCTCTTCCTTCCGAATCACATCTCCAGGAGAGAGGGCCCGGCCCGCACATGTCCCATCTCCAAAGCGAATGCACAGATTGACATTCCTTCCTCGGCGCCTCTCCTAAGTGAAGAGCACAATTACCCGCAGTGCCTGCTCCAGACGAATCGAGTGCCAGGGGAGCGGCTGCTGCTGAGACCACTGCCCGGGAGCTGCCGGCCGCTGCATGACACGGGAAGGAGGGCCTCCCGGCCCCCAGGAGCACCAGGCGAGTGAGCCCTCAGCACCAAGGCCCTCTGGGCCAGCGGCTCATCC